TTTTTTACCAGTGTCACATTTTGTGATGGACCGTTGTAGTTTTTAAATCTTTATATAACTTTGATTGTTAGATTTATTGTTTGCGTTATAATTTTCAGGGTTTTTTTTTTTTTTTTTTTTGTCTTTTTGAAGCAGAGCTGACATTTAAATTGTGTGTTATATATGCAAAATTACAAGGATTTGTAGTTTAACCCTTAGCTTAATTAGGTACCACCACAAGTCTATTAACTGACAATAAAATAAAGAATAAAATATAACCAGATTTTATAGCAATATCTTAAATGAAACGTATAATTAAAAAAAAGGTTGGTGATTAAACAACGAAATAGGAATTGAGATCAGGAAAAATTAAACATAATCTTGTTATTTAAGAATGATCTTTGGTATATTGCTATATTATTAAGAAAAACAACTTACGGGTTTGCTAGGGTACACATCAGACAGGTGGGCTTTGAGCTTTTCCACGGTCCAGTTCTGGAAGCAGTTGATTGTCTGGTCATCGTACTTCTGGTTGGGAGCCTTGATAACGAGGATGACAGGACTGTCCACAACACCTTGATCCATGACTCAAAAACATTTGTCTTCAATGAAATATCCAAAGAAAAATCTCTGAGACACGCCTTTCTGCTTCCAGTCCAAATTATTGCAGAAAGTTTCTTACAACGACGGAGGGGGAATTGATATTGTTCACAAGAACGACAGCTGGGAAAGGGGGAAAAACAAACCAAAGTTAGAGAGAAACTATTTTTAAATTCGATGATGATGATGATGAGAACAACCAAAACTACANACAAGCTTGTTTAAAGGCAAAAATTCCTTGATATTGATTTAAAAAAAAAAAAAAAAAAAGGTTTTAATGCAATTGGCAGATTACAGTGCATCACAAAAGTGAGTACACCCCTCACATTCCTGCAAGTATTTAAGTATATCTTTTCATGGGACAACACTGACAACATATAACTCTATATACAACCATTAATGTCTAACCCCGCTATTTCTATAACTGAAGCGCTATGTCTATGGGAAAATAATTTGTCCAAAGTTCTTGAAGGGTTTAATATTTATCTTCCATAAAAAGAAAAGGACATTTCTTAAATAAATAAAAAAAACAAGATAGTCAAAAACAGAAAAGTCAGTTGGATACTGTAAGTCAGTTCCATAACAAACTCTCAAGAATCTGGCTTCTAAAATGTGGCAGCTGTAGATATCATTAACTTTATTTCCAACCAGCCTCTCAAACATGAATGAGGTGTAACAGATATGAGTGGGTTGAAAAAAGAAACAGTGATGAGGTGCTTGTATCATTTAACAGACAAAACGAGTTTGGAAAATTGGTCCGATGTTGTTTGACTTCTATCAGACGAGCACTGATAAAAACTTGCCTCACTGTCCTGTGTGATCTGCACCTCTTCGCCTTGTGGCACCTGGGCGATGTGCAGCTGTCCCTGTGGAATCTGAGACACAAGAGGAAAGGGACACAAGTTTTTTTTTATTTAAAATGCATGATTTTTCTGACAAAGTGTGGAGCCAAAGCCATTAAAACTGGCTTTTAATGAACTCAGTGACTTCGGGATGCAAGTTCAAATAAATGAGAATAATCAGAAGGAGTTACGTGCCAAACAAACACCACCTTAAAATTCAGAAATGTTCAAATAAAGATCACACAATGTGCCTATATAAAGAAATTAAAGAACAGATTAGAATAAAATCACTGCAGCATTTGTAAGGCTTTAGGGTTCTACTAAGCATAAAGCAGCGGTGAACCTTCCTAGGAGTGGCTGGGCACATCAGTTAGTCGTCCAGGAGATGACGAATAACATCTCAACAGCTCTGCAGGGCTTAGTTGGCTCAGTTAAGGTCAAATTTTAAGATCCAACAATAAAAAAAAATAAAAAAAAGAGAGAGTGGAAAATGGCCATGGGAGAGTTCCAAGGCTGTTGTAAAACTAATACAGCATTTGAAAACAAGATCCTACAATCGAATCTGGTGGTGGTAGCATGACGGTCTGGGGCCGATTTGATGCTTTATTACAGGGGTGTCCAAAATCGGTCATCGAGGGCCGGCATCCTGCATGTTTTAGTTCTCTCCCTGGTTTTACACACCTGCCTCAAATGAAGGCTCATTAGAGGCCTAAGGAGAACATTGAGGGAGAGAACTGAAACATGCAGGATGCCGGCCCTCAAGGACCGACTTTGGACACCATGACTTGATGTAGGTAACCATGAACTCTGCTCTCTACTACAAAATACTGAGGAAGAATCTACAGCCATCAGTTTACAACCTCATGCTTAAACATTAATTATATTCCATAATGGCACAAAATGCAGCATTGGTCTCGAATAACAGCATCTGCTTCATTTCAACATACAACTCATTTACCAGACAGTCATTTCATTTAATCTACAAATCGTTTCTGAAGCATGATCCTGCTCAGTCATTTGAAGTTTTAGATGTCTTTCATTGCTTCTTTAGCTCTTACAGGAAGAAAACAAATTCCAGAGTTACTCTTTGTGGGAGAACTGCTCACAACAAGTTTTCTCATAAGGTGTTTAATCTCGCATCTATTGTTGTAGCTCAAGGGATGTTTTAAATTGAATACTTTAGATGATTTCAGGACACTGGGAATTTAGTTTATTTACTTTTTCTTTAACAGCCCACCCATATGTCGCAGTGGGCCTCAATGTGACCTTTGGCCACGGCATGTGTTAATGGCCAATCCATCATTCAGCATCCATTAGTCTTTTATTAATTTATATGTTGGTCAATATTTCCCCAGTGTCACTGTAGTGGGTGGTATGAACTATCCCAGGCCTGCTCTGTGGGACTCCTAAATTAAACTGAAACCCAGGATGTGGGGGACAAATTTTAGAAACTAATATGTAGAGATAAAAAATGAGGTCTTGTAATTAAGAAAATGCTTTCCGAAGGATTTACAGAAAGTGAAAAATGAAACATTTGAGACGCGCCACCTGAACCTGTCCATCCTCACCAATACGATGGAACTGGACCTGTTGATTGGCCAGTGTGTAATGCAGGGTCTGTTGGGTGGCGGTCTCTATTTGAGCAGCTTCATCTGAGATGCCTTCCTCTGTACAAAACAACAAAAAGATGAGTCAGTGTGGAACTTCGGAGCACGCTGGGTGAGCAAGTTCAGTAACCCAGGACAATTATATAGAATCAAATATGAAAGATCTGTAGCCGGAAGGCGTCATAAAATTACAAGATTCCTAAGCTCTCTGGTTGCTGACAGTTCAAGATTTAAACATATCCATGTTCTAGCGACAACATCCTCAGGTTAGTGATGCACTGATAAATAGATTGGTTTTCACTTGATCCGCAAGTGTTTCTATGAATCAAAACTAAGAACTTTTAAACTTTTCAGTCTATAAACATCAACCTCCTGCATAATCCTTACATTCAAGTTTAACAAAAAAACAATCTGACAAATGTCAGGGACACATTCCTTGGATCATAAATGACAATATTTCTGTTATTCTATAATTTTCTGCTAGATTCAAAATTACTACATCTATCAAAGGACTTCAATACTGGCCAAATAAAGCCTGCAAGTCATCCTGAAAAATAAAAATAAAAAAACATTTAGGCAATAAAAGCCAATTTAAATAAAAAAAGAAAAAGATGATCATTGCTACCAAGTGAAGCCAGACTACCTTTCTGTAATATAGTCATTTGTTTTATTTTCCATACACGTCACTACATAATACAGACATTTTGAAGATTAACACTCCCTCTTATCATTCATTATTACAGATGTGTGGTGAATTATATAAAAAAATATGTTTCTCAGTACTTTAGCTGATGAGGGATGGGAGCCCAGACGGCTAATAAAAAAGCTAAAGAGCTTGTTTCACACAAATGAAAATCCTCTTTTTCAGTTCATTAGGATGGAATTTGAGTCGAAACTGAATGATTTGTTTGGTCCCTGTATGTGTGCTGCATCTTGACGGATGTTGCATGTTGAACTAGCATTTGTGTTGAACACACTAGGGTGTGCATGGCTTGAAAAGGCAGGGCCTGACAATCCGCCCCTACGGTAGTATGGGCTCACAGGATATTAGGCTTTCCTCCGTAGGCCTGCTTTTCTCTGGTCAGAGGTGAGAGGTGATAACTCACAGAAAGTGGGAAGTACAGAATGCTTTGTGTATGGACTCTAAACAGCTGCAGTGTTACACTAGATAGCTACACATTGGTTCCGGTTGCATAAATGCGTTTATACAGGAGATAAAATAAGATGTATTTGAATTCACAACCTGTGAAGGTGTTGATCGCATTCAAGTTGTGCTGACAGCAGGAGATGAATGGCTTTCAAAATATAATAAATATATATTTGCACCAGTGGAACTAACAAAACAAGCTGTGAGTTTTTTTTTCATATAAACAGAATCTGGATTTAATTTTTCTGCAACTTGTACATCTGCACACTTTCCCTTTTCAAGACGTCACACTTTCCTACATGCAAATTTCAAGAGCCGTCAAACTTTATTGTCACATTATGCCTAAAACTTAAAAAAAAAAAAAAAAAAAAAAAAAAAGAAATACAGTTATACAGGCACCTGAGATCTATATTTTACCTGCCACCGTACTGCGTGGAGTGCGTTTGGAAAAGCTCTTCACTGCCAGGCTCTGGCCCCGCTGCTTGCGTCTCCAGGCGGTACGACACTTTGAATCAATGCTTTGCTTGATCCGGTACCAGTCTGATTCAGAGATGCCAAATTTGTGGAACAAGTGGCCTGAGGAAATATGGAAACATTACATGTTACAAGTGTATATTGGTCATCTCACCAATGAAGACTTTTTTCAATAATAAAGTGTGAGGTTTGTACCTTTGAATGCCTGCACCAAGTTTACATACACTCACCACAGGGCATAAATCTCATTTCAGATTTTGGAAATTAAATTAATTTTATTAGAACTTTTTATTTTTCCCCAACGTGGAAAAATGATAAACAACTTCACATAGTTTTGAAATGCAACATTATTGTGAAATTTCACTAATCCACATGGCTAAATTTATACGTGCAGGCTCAAATATATTTATATATCCTGAATACAATTTTGTGGAAAGTCCCTGTCCAAGTTCTATGTTAACTGGACCCTTTTGTAGCCATAAACTAGTTTCTAGAGTAATCCTAGGAGGATATTTCACTTTTTTTTTTGGTAAAATTTGTGGAGTTAATTTAAATCTGTTGGCTGTTTTTTATGCTTATCATGAGCAAATGTAAACCACTAACACCATGTGTATGCTAGGGCTGTAGCGGTACACTAAATAGAAAACAGCCAGTAGATAACTTTTAAATTTAATATCTTGTTAAAATAAGTGCCTAAATAATCTTAAAATCTGCATTTGTGAATAATGCAGAATGCAAAAAAATAAATAAATGTGACTCAACATCAATTTTTAACCACCACAAGATCTACAGGTTAAACACAATTTAGTTTAAGTATATAATCAACACATTAGCATTTAAAAAGTGAATGTAACCACTGTCTGAGTCCAGTTTCCGTCTCCACACCTTTTGGCAAGTTAACACAAGCCTAACTGTGACTTTTCCATCTCCCTGCATGGAGATATGTACAGGTGCATTCACTAGATGACTGGGGCCACATTATAAACTGTTAAGAGGGCGAGGGCCAACTGACAGCTCATTTCTATTTGGGTTAGCAACACAGTTATAACCTTTACTACCCGGGGATAGAAAATGAGACGGTGGGGTTATCTGATGGTACTGGTATGACACTATCCAGCAGTCCTTCTGCACCTGATGATCCTGCACAGGCAAGTCAGGCAGGTGCTCTTTCATTCTTATTTTATCTTTTTTTTTTCCTCCCCTTCAAGGAATAATGAGTCAACCAAGAGTGAACTAGCCCTGCTCTTGCCTTTACATACTTCTGTGTCAGACCGAATCCACATGCAACTGCATGAAATGCAAAGGTTCAAAGGGAACACAGGGACGGAAGAAGAAAAACGTCTTTGGGAATAACGCAAATGGAAAACGAAGAAACTCTGGAGGAAAAAAAAAAGATTGTGTAAAGCGAGATTTTTTTTTTTAAACGCCAATTTTAAAATTATACATTTAAATGTTGCATATGGGTACTCACAAGAAACACAAATGTGTGGAAAAGAAACATTTAGAGCTATAAAAGAGAAGTTCAATGCGTGTCCCCAAGTTGACCTCTGCACAGCTGGTCAAGTGGCCTGAAGTGGGTGTGAAAGACAGATCTTTATCTACAGCAAATGGTGAGTAAAGAGGTACATGGAGGTCTGGGAGGAGGGGACATTGAACAATGTCCAACTGAAGTGAGATGCACTTTAGATACACAACGTGAAAAATAAGCACTGAACATGTTAATGTTTTCCTCAGTAAAAATATCTCTATTGAGGCTATAAACACGAAACACGCATCAGCTGTAAATAAGAACCCAATGATTCCAGACATCCAAAGAAATAAAAACTGATTAAATTACGGGTAATGAAGTAGAATGACAGAGAATAAGCACTGAACACATCCAAAATGTATTCAATGCTCGGCAGAAAAGCCCTATTTGGTAGCAAAACCTCAAGACGTCTCTCTTATGGAGAAACTAATGGAATACTCAGCTGGTAATGGCCCATTCTTCTTCACAAACTGTTAAATGTTTAAAGGCCTCTGGGCCTCTTCTATGCTCTCTGAGCTTCAGTTCTTTTAATAGATTTTCAGTTGTGTTCATGTATGGTAGTTAACTCAATTATTCTAGCAGATATTCTGAAATCAACTAACATCTACAGATTTTTAGCAGACTGTCTTGGCGCATTTTCCTATTCATCCTGCTTTCAATTATACCTCTAAACACGGTATGTGGAATGACAAAGAGTTCAATTTTGTAGAACTGTGGCAGTTAGCAAAGCTGACTGCCACAGTTCTGTCTATATACCAGAGTATATTCCTCCAGTATTTTGTTGCTTTGTTCAAATGTTGTGCAGCAAACATTGAATAAGCTTCAGCATGATTTTTCTTCATAAGCTATACAGCGAATGTTGGATCTGTTGTGGTTCAGTGTGTTACCAGATTCCATGAAAGAAAAACTGCTCATGCTAATTCCAGGTGTTTCTAAAGCTCTTTCCAAGTGCACTTCTGATATTGGACAAGTTTTGTCGTTCATGTTTTGACACCTCTGTCAGAAACCATCCCAGGAGCACCAGGTCACGGGCTGCATTGAGGTGAAATGATTTTCTTTCCACTTCACGATTATTGCTCCAACATTTCTCACAGGGCATTTTCAGAAGTGTAGAAATACATCTGAAACCATCAGTATGCTCTTCAACAATAAACACTAAGGTTTTGAGAGAGCTCATTGATTTTCATGAGATGTTTCTTGTGCGATTCCTGGGTAATAAGAAGACTTTTAAAACAGGGCATTAGTAAGGACTCAACCGGCTGAACTTAACTTCATATGACAGAGAGCAGGATTGTTTTCTAAAAACTTCCCATGCCTTCATACCTACTTTTCTTAATGCGTTCAATACTTACTCAGAGTCATTCTACTTTAATTCACGCAACTTAATTTATTGATCTATTTGTTTGGATTTCTTTTGATGTGTGAATTACTTGGTTTGGTACCAACATATGGTTTGAGTATTATGTCAATAGTCTCATTCAAAATGTATCTACACGATTTGTTCAATACTTACTCTCTGGCTTTATGCCTCATTATGTCATGAAGGAATATTTCATTGAACTATTTAAAAGAGACATAAACTGTTAGAACATGTTACAGCTGATGACACTGCTATTACGACAGCATTATGAGACTTATAAATACAAAAGTCTATTTCTAAAAGAGTCACTAAAGATAAATCTGTCAACCACTGAAGGCCCAGCTCTTCTCAAAGACCTACTGAATTGAGAGCGACTCCATTAACATCTTTCAACCAGACATGTGCATGTCATTTAGAGTTCGGTATGTACTAAAATGTGGTGCACATTAATGCGTGTATGGTATGATGAATGCATGTTGTTGTAAGCCGCCATGGGAATACAGACTGTGGTCTGTTTCAAAGATCCATTCAACTCTACCCTGAAACGGAACAGGGACGAAATGTGGGAAGGTCTCAGAGAGTTAGTTTATTCCTACAAGAATTTCAAACTACATTTTACAACCTTTTACTTCTACTTTACAGAAATAATGTGGTAATCATAAAACAGAGGGTGGTCTGGGCCATTTCAGAAGGTGATATTTTCTGTTTAACCATCACAGAAACTGTAAGAAGTACAAATCAGAATCACCTGCAAATTCAGTGGCCTTTTATATGAAAAATGCCAAAAGGTTTCCTCTACTCATATTTAATTAAGTGTTTTGGACTTCTTTTCACTATACACTCTGAAAAGAAGGTGAAGAATTAGATGATGCAATGACATGTCAGTAGTAAAACTAAAAATCCTCCCAAGTTACACTGTATGCAACAGGAAAAGCTATTTGGCCTCCTTGAAGGAACACTGTATCAACTGTCAAAAATGACACTCCCTTCATCATGCAGCAGCGCCATTTCACATCAAGTGGTACTGCTGGATTGCATAAAGGTTATAAAAGGAGGAGGACTCCCTTCTTGTTATTCACCTTAATCTCACTTCAGCATCTAGATGGTTGAAACCTGGACACACTTGGGTGAGACCAAACCACTATTGCCTCTAACGCACATAAAAACTGCTTTGGCAAGGACTGCTGTTCTGGAAACCTATGACCACAATCTTAGATGTTCAGATGTTCTGTTTAACCACCACGAACTGCTAAGATGGTGCAGCTCAGATGCACCTTTGAGACATTTTCCAAAAGGACCTTTTGGGATGCCTAACACTTCTGGGATCTCATATATGCAAGTTAAGGTATTGTGAACCATTTCTCAGAGCCTCCTCTACCTTCTGCTTGAGGTAACGTGAAGTAAAGTGATGTAGTCCCCTGTCAATCATAAACCAGCAACGTTTTATGACTTACATCGGATGCCATAGATCATAAGAGGGTCTAGTTGCTTCTTTCCATGTTTCCCTTGCCCGGAGAGATTTGACATTGCCTGGACCTCCCGGTGGAATAGGTAGTCCAGCAGTGTCAGAGCCATTTTCTCTGCCGTGCGGCAGTTTGTGCTGATATAAAGCATGTCAGACGGAGAAATTGGACAGCGAACCCGCATCTCTGAGTTGTTTTCATCTCCCAACCAAGTGCCTTCTGGATAATCTTCTAAAAAAGTAAGAGAAGAGAAACAGAAAGGAATCAAGAGAAAAGGAAAGGAAAGGCACTTCTTGAAGCACAAGCCTCAATGTTCTGCTGCAGTAAATCCATGCGAGATGTGAAGCACTAAGGAAAACCTGTCTAGATCCCTATATAAATAAATATAAAAGCTTAATTTATATGTTCCACTATAGGATTTAATCACAGGTTGACAAATATTACAAAAGGTACGCCGAGTCAACATAAGATTATGTAATACAACAGCACCTCCATGTGGTTGTATAAAATAACTGATTCAATTCCAGATCTGAATTATGTGGTGTTATAGCTCTCTACTGCTTACCACTTTTACACCATATAACACAAATGGTACCATGTTAGCAGTGCTGACTGCCACAATTCCATCTATATACCAAAAAGCTGAAATAAAGGGTAGCTTTGTTGATGTAAAAATGAAGCTGCAAACTTTAAGCCAAGTCCCTTAGAGTTAAGCGTCAACACGCTAAGACAACAACATGAATATGAAAACCAGTTAAAATAGTCACGTTACCCCTTTCAAAACAAAACACTGAAAAAAAGATCTACATATGTGGTTTTTTGAAAATTCAGTCATTGACATCAATGCTGTAGTAGTTAATGCTTATATGGGTTTCGCTGCTAAAACGAAATAGATGATGCAAAGATGCAGGCCAACATAAAGCACTGGAAGGAACAACAATAATATCATGAAGATCATTATTATTATTTAGCAGAAAAATGAAAACCAAACGTTTTAAGCTTATTTTATTGGTTGTAATATTTTAAGTCTCTATACTTTTTAAGTCTGTCTTAATCCTGGAAGCCTACCTTGGGGCCAGGGGTTGCAAATAAGCTATTGCTACAAACCTGTTTAATGTTTTTGCCCCTGTTAAACAAACACATTTAACAAAAAGCTTAGGTTTTTTCAGCACAGTAATATTTTAGAGCTAAATGTTGAGATTCTTTGTTTGAAGACAAAAAGAAAGAAAAAAAAAATCACAGAAGTTTGTAATCACACAAATAATTTAAAAATTTTACTGAGAACGGTAATCATTTGTTTTCTTTGTGTTAGTGACTATCCTAATCAAGACTTATTAAACTTTCTGTGCCTAAGCACAAATTAATCCCGCCTCCAACATAATCAATCCATTCATTCAAATCCATTCACGGCCGTAAAAGCAGCAAAATAAAAACATTAAATATAAAGGGTGAGGGTAGATTGATATTTCTGCGTTAACAGACTAGGTCTTACCTTCTGCATTGAGTGTGATGAGTGTGACATTTTGACCATTTTGTGCACCGCCTGACTGACCACTGTTGGAAACAGAGTCACTGGCCTCTGAGCCGCTCTCTTGTTCCTCTTGACTCTCTTCAGCACCCGGCACTTTAACCAGAATGGTATTCTGTCGCCTCCTGGCCACTGTGCTGCAAAACCAAAATAAGGTATTTGACACGCTGATGCATCCCAGTTGTAACAGGCTAGATATACTGGGCAAGAGGATGACTGTTGTTTTAATTTAGGGCTTGTAAAAACTAGGGGTGTACCGATTACAGTTTTGTAGCTCATCACCAATTACCAATCCTTAAAAAGCCTGACCTACCGATTCCGATTTCGGCCGATACCTTTTTTTTTTTTTGCCTGAAATTTTGCTAAATATAGCAATTTTGATAAATATAGCAATTTTGCTAAATATAGCAAGAAAGAGTTGGCAATAGCGGAGTGACTATTGTTAACTGCAAACTTGCAGACATGAGCAAGTTTGTCAGTCAAACCTCTCACATAGCAGAGCAATAAAGGGCAGTGGTTTATTTTTAGACCTTTGCTCAGATAGATAGGATGGGGGTGGAGGACAAGATCGGCATCCCATACAGACGCGGAGCTATAAGGGTGGCTCGGGAGGAATGGTTTCAAGTCGCTTTAATGTCTGATTATCGACGGAGAAAGTGCGCCCTCGCCTGTTCAGAAAGGTGTATCCCTCAATGGAATATATAGTAGTCAGTCCCAGTGACTCACTCACGGTTTAGCCAATATGCTTCCTTGGTAAAAATCAAATGAGAACCCTCCCCCCACCCCAACAGAGCAGGTGATACACGTGAGGGGCCCGGTCATTGGCCCCGCCCCCCGGCCCGACGCCGACGGTCACATACAAGTATCAGCAAGTCACCAATCTCCCAAGACTAAGGAAATCTGTGCCAATTAATCGGGACACCCCTAGGACACACTTCTAGTTCTGAAGTGATTTTAATGGTGGAAACAACCAAACTTACCACTTAACACTAAATTCATTGTGAACTCCCTCTAATCCAGGGTCAAAACTATACATATTGTCTCAAATATATACAATCTCACCAATATTTGTTGTTGGGTTGTAGCCAGTCTTAGACTTCTGGCATATCCGTGGATGGATATTAATCTCATGTCTTTGCAGTATTGGTAGAGTTTATTATAGCACATTGGTTTTCTGGGACAGACTTGGCTTTTAGCCAACTAGACTTCAAGGGTCTTTCCAGACATATGAAGTTAATTCCTCCAGTTTTTATGTTTGTTTGGAATAACTGTCCTGTAGAAAAACCCAATTGTGTTGCTGTTGATTTGAGGTAACATAGTTGGTTAAATGCTGGTGGGTTTGAAAGCTTAAACTTGACCTTTACAAACATGGTTCTCATCACTGACATAAACCTTTTCTCCCTTAAACATCTGAATAGTGGATCTGAGCAGTTAGTTATTTCAGTCAAGCCCAAAGGTGTCAAATTTGAAGCAGGGGGCAGCCCAATGTTGAGTCACTGAATGTGGACAGCACCTCCCAGTTTACAGTCAAATTCAATAAAATAGCAAATTTTAAAAACAAGTGTTGACTAAAATGTTGTACAATTTCATCAAAGAGAAATAAAACAGCATGTAGAATAAAACTGTAATAAAAAGAATAAATTCACTTTTAGTCCCTGAAGGGACACACTGAACTATTTTTTATCATCACAGGGATAATAAGCTTCATTCCTTCTAATCAATTTCTTTCAACAGAGGTTAACAGTTTGAGAAAGTTTCCATACTGGTACCAGTACAACGAATATCATTGAACAAAGAAGAGGGGAGTAAAAAAAATAAAAAAATACTAATTATTCATACTCAATCAGCTGATGTTCTCCAAACATCCATCAGGTTTATGGATGTTTGGGGAACATCCATCAACCAGTGATATCAAAATGTATGGAATCATTCTGCAAAAAAAAAAAAAAAAATCAGAATGATAATTTCTACAATAATATTTCTGTCAGCTGTAAAACCACCAAACATAGGAAACAAGGGCTGATTATGGGTTGAGGGTATTAATTTAGCCATCTCTCCTATCTCCTGAAGCTCTTTGTTTCCTTTTTTTACAAAGCTCTGTGAGTTACTGCATGAAGTTCGCTCCTGACCTATCAATGTAACAATCTAACACAACTGTTCTTAGCACAGCTTTAAACACACGAAGCGTTATGTATTTCATCCATACTGACATTAAAATCACCCAAAAAGACAGTCCCTAGCAGCCTATTGCCAGCAAAGTTCTGTAACGTTAAAACTTTTAAGACAGACAAACACATTTATAGATAAATATCAGCGGACCTCTGACATACAGATAAATATAAATGCAAGCTGCTTACTTGCTGAGCAGATTTTCAAGAGGAGTGTCTTCCTGGTTTAATCCCTTTGTGTGTTCTCTGCTAACAATCACATTTGTTTGTGGGACAACGCTGAAAAAAAAAAAAAGATCGAAACAGACATGTATAAAGAAAAATACAAGATTAAAGCACAAAAATGATTGAAAAAAAAAAAAAAACACTTGAGATTTTACCATCGAACTTTGTTCCAAGTTTGAGTGGCGCCCTGAGGAGAACCTGCAACCATAGGAACTTGTACGGGGCTCTTTGCACAGGGAGCCATGCTGTCAAGTTTGCGGACAAGGACTTTGCACGTTGCGTCTAAGGACTGTAGCTTTGACTCAATTCCTTCCAGGCGCTGGCTAATCGACTCAGTGAATGAAACCAGAAGATTCTGGGTATAGAAACGGTAAAGAAATTCATGCATTTGATCAATCCAACAGGAAAATTTAAAATAAAGTCTAGATGTTATAAGAACCATGACTGGTGATTTATTAGTACCTTAATAAAAGATAGTTCTTGATTACTGTTGTTGTTGTCCTGACTGCTGCTTAGTTTCCTCTTTTTCTTCTGTGTCCTTTCTTCACCGTCTTCAGTACTGTCCAGCAAATCTGCAATAGATCAAATCCAGAGAAATTGCCAAAACATTTTAGCTAGTGCCAAAAACCTGGTTTCATCGCTTTGAACAGAGAGACGAAAGCGCTGAGTAAGTCACCGATCAATAAATGCAGAAGAGATGTGTCTCTACACAGCATCCTTACCACTACGGCCATCCTGGTTAAACTCCTCCACTGTTATTTGTACTATTTCATCCAGCACTTGTCCAGACATTGTTCACAGCTGAAATAAGACAATGAGAAAATATTTATCGTCAGCATATTGTTGCACAGTTTGTAACTTTAAGACAAACGAGTTTTTATGTCTAGGCTTTAACCAGACCTCCGTTTCAAAGACCTACAGCTATTTCCAACCCAGAATAAGTTCAGCCTTATTCTGAACTCACACTGCAATATGATCACACCTGGACATCTCTAAAAGCACTACCTTACAAAAGCATTCAAATCTTTTAATATTTTTGATATTTTATTACTTTATAATCAGAAACTTCAATGTATTTTGGGGGGATTTGTGTAATGGATAAAGTGGAGCATAATTGTGAAGGAATGAAATTGACACTTTTGAAAAGTTTTAATGAATAAAGATCTGAAAAGTGTGCCAAGCATTGGGATTCAGTTATTTACTTTAACACTCCCAAACACAGTCTAATTACCTCCAGAAGTGATATCAGTAAATAGATTTTATGCGAGTTTATTCTACGAATAATAATAATAATGCAGCTATTCACTAAAAATCTACAGAGGTTTGTCTTAGAACATCAGTGAACAGCTAGAATCATGTAAAGAAGCAATCACACACCATACTTTTTATAATTTTATTTACAAACTTTAACAAACTATGACTCATTTCCCTTCCACATCGTAATCATGGTCTATTTTGTGCTGATCTATCAAAGACATTCTATAAAAATGCACCAACGTTTTTGGCTGTGTCAAGGCAATACTTAAGTTGTATGAAGGTGCAATGAAGTTGTAATTAACTTTTTTGAAAGTAATGGTGGAGTGGACACGACGTGTGACGATTGTTGGTCTGCAGTAGAGGACTGCTATTTCAAAAAAGCTTTTTAAATAAGAATGCTATATCAGATATAAACTCTGGACTGAATTTAGAAAGTAATTTATATAAATAGTAAAAACTAAACATGAATTTGTTTGATTTACTCATGTGAAAGACCCAGGCAAAAAGAGAACATACATAATCATACATACAACATATCTGTATACGATGTATTTCAAAGCAGTTTTCAGTTGTTTCAGAAAAGCTCTGGCTTCGATCGACAAATGTGCCTGAACAATTCGACACAGATCTTTTGCATTAAACAAAAATCTAAGTCATAATTTATTTGACTTTGTTTTGTTTTTTTAAATTGCATAACACGGCTGTGTGTTGCCGTGTCTGTGCACGGACATTGTGTGGCTTAATGTACTTGGCAATGATAGATGGTTACATCTTGTAGTTTGCAGATATTTGGCAATGTTTGGCAAATTGCAGATATTTGGCAATGTTTTGTGGCCGTAATGTTGTGGTTGATACCTACGAATGCAATTAAGGACATTCAGCAGTAAAAATGTTGAATATAGAAGTCTGACAAAATATTGGGTCCCTGACAAATTATGTTTCTGGATCCATATCTAACTTGCAGTTAGTTATATAGGTAGTTCTGAAAACTACAGAAAAGGTCCATGCTGCAGCTTATCTGTTTAAAAAAATATATATAACAGATGGGGGCGGGGGATGTTTATTGAACTAAATAAGACTTATACCACATAATACAAACATTGGTCATAAAAAGTCTAAGTATATTATATGTATATAAAACTTTACAGAAACCGCCTGCAAAAAAAATCAACACTTACATAATTTATACATGAAAAACTTGTCTTAATTGCAGAGTAATAAAAGGTAGTAGGCCTAAGTATATTTTAAATACATGTTTTCTTGCTTCCATGTTCAAATAAAAAATAAACACATATGAGCACATTGAACTTAGTAACAGTGCTGGACTTTGCGTATTATTGGGTTATTTTTTGTCAACTGTCCGTACTGAACCTGCCTTGCATTGTATTACCAACAAATTAAGCTCTTACCATCAGTAAATAGAATCAGGTCTTTTGACAAAGCCTTATTTTAAAATTTTTTCTTTTAAAATAGATCTCCAGAGTTAAGATTTGGGGCTAACAGAGTGCGCGGGTACTCTACAACCAACCGGAGTATGGGCGGAAAATTAACATGCACTACTCGTGTGTTGTTAATGTTGTAACGATGGTAAATTTGCCAATGTTTCTACATTTGCATTGCCTATCAAAGCCAAAACCAGACCCGTAGCTAGCGGCTAATGTTAGCAGGAGCGCCACAATCCTGTTTGTGAGCCGCCTTGCTAACAGCAAAGCTAAGGAGTGAAACCAAACGCTATTTAGGCTAGCTTAGTAGTTAGGATGCTATGGGGCCTAAAGGCCGCTGGACTGTAACACAAGAATCACAGAAAGTTAAAAACAGCAAACAAATGACATTTTAACTCTGCATCCTCGACCCTAGCTCTCACACAGCGACATGCACCGTGTAAGATTGGGTTATATTACCGTGTGAATGACGAATTCTCGTGTTGTTTGTAGAGATTCCGATAACGGCGTCGTTCCTCGCGAGAGATGGAGCCTGTGCCTCTACCTGGCTGCTCCTTCACTCTGCTCAGCAGTCTGCAGGGGCCGCACTAAACATTCAGAGCCGCTTGATCGAGAGGAAGGTTAGGGACCATCTAATCGTAGCTGTAAAGACTATGTAATGCTCTTTAGAATGTTGATTATTTAATAATGTCGATAAATATCAACTGCATGCCTTAATTTTATTTATGTTACCACATAAGATGTTTGCTTAGAGCAGGGATGCCAAAGTCGGTTTTCTTAGACCTTCTAATGAGCCATCATTTGATCCAGGTGCACCAGGGAGAACTAAACCATGCAGGATCCCGACTTTGGGCACCTGCTTAAAGTGCTCTTTATGCTTTTCAAGAATCGATCTATAATTCCAGGTGGTTGCGTTTGCAGTTTTTTCTTTTTTTTTCTTTTTTGAGAATGTTAGGGAGACATTCTCTCCCTAACATTTCTGCTAAAGGTTGTAAAAGTTGTACTTTACAACCCTTAGAAAATGTAGGTCAATATATTACCTAAATGTTCTTAAAAGGGTTAAATAAGAAAATACAGCCTTAGATAATTTACTAAGCTATGTGGTGACAGTCGTTCTAAACGAGAATATATATTTAGTGTATTTTTCAATATTCTGTTTAAAGTACACTGTAACGAAATCTCATTTGACTTTAAGAACCAGCAGGAGGTCATTAAGTTATGTCTGATCAGGGGTCATTCTCTGACAGCCTTGTCAATATGGCATTGTGTGCTATGGGTATAATATAACAGCTCTAAATGAAAATGAGAATGGAGCATTTTAATGACCACTATCTTCATAATTAAATTTGTAATCTACAACGCAGTCAGGTAGCACGCGATGACTTTAGCTTAGTGGGAATGAAATGTTTGTTTACTAATTAGAAAATGAAGTAGAAATGAACAAATTGGCAAGGCGTGAGTATGAAATGGACGAATTTGCAAATGCACAAATTTACCTTGTGCTGCTAGAACAAACACTGTCTCGGGAAAACAGCAGACGATAAACGTCGGTGTGTTTGACACAGAACCCAGAACTCGCAATTTTAAGCTGAATTAGCCATATCCATTGTATTAACAAGTCTCGGTTTGTTGCATTTTCGACGAGGACGTAAGGAAATAATCACCAATAGAGAACACGTGTAGACACACCATCTTTCAAAGAGAATAGTTGTTGCTCAGCTGTCCGTCTCGGGCCAGTGGCGCAATGGATAACGCGTCTGACTACGGATCAGAAGATTCTAGGTTCGACTCCTGGCTGGCTCGAATATTTTTCTTTTTGTACAATTTTTTTTGTCAGTGTTAGGTTTTGTACATTACGTTTGGCAGTCTTCACAGACGAAAATCAGATTCGTGTCGAGATAGAGAGACGGTAACGTGACGAGGTGGTGAAAGGTAAGACCTAGTAGGTCCTGCATTCACCATAAACAACTTTTAAACTATTTTAGTCAATTTTATTTATAATGCCCTGTATATATAAATTGAAATCTCAAAGGGCACATTCACTCACTATTGATGGCAAGATACTGGATTGTAGCTACAGCTGCCCTAGGGCCGTGTGACTGTCAGTAAGCAGTAGCATAAAAAGTGCATCCATTTAAATACAGTAGTTACTGCTGTACATGTTTTCATGCTTCCATAAAGCTAGCTACCTATGAATTTTACACACATAAAATCAAGAATAATTGCCTTCACTTATTGGTCTTTGATTTGACTATCACACAGTCTTATTATGACAGAAAAGGGATGTTTACTACCCATTACCTTTGTGCAGATAAACATGTGGTAGTTGCCAACCATCACTGTTTCATGTAACAGGTTGTGAGGTCAGCAGCAGGCCTTGATCCAGCGCTCGCATTTTTCCAGAGTCCGTTTGAGTTTGAGAACAGAATAAAATCCTCAGGGTAATGGCTGTCCCTACTGAAATCATTTGACCATACATTTGTTGCGAAATCTCTATGACAAAGACTTTTGGGACAATGTAGCCTCCAGAAAATTTTGTTATGTTCACAACTTTCACAATAAGTTTTGCTGGATGATAAATTGTGCCAAAAGTTATCGCGATAACCAATTATATTGTTTTAATACCATTTACAATTAATATAATGGCAATAGCACAATAATGCAAGAACATATTTTCAAACTTTAAATTCTAATGAACATTGAACACTGGAACTGGAAGGCATTTAAAATATCCAAAATAAATAAAAAGAATCTATAAATAAAATGAATTACTAAATCACTGTGAACAAAATTGTCTTTCAAAAAAAAGGTTTAGTTGAGACCAAAGCACCAGGCCGGAGTCTTTCTTTCTACCAAAAACTGAATGAATAGAGAAACAATAAATCATGCAAATGGAAATTGAGCTAGCTTGAATTTATCATGAGATTAACTGATTTATTGATTATTGTGACAGGCCAACCAGAGGTGAAGTTATTTTCACCAACAAGTGGAGAGAATGGTTAAAATCAGTGGGTTTCTTTAGTTCAAAAAGTTTCTAAGTCATTATCCGTTTGATAATGACTATAATCAGTTGGAGTATATATATGATTGAATTAAAATGTTGTTTTTGTAAGGTGATATTTGTTATATATATTATATATTACATTAGCGCAAAAGAAGTAAACTGAATTAAATTGTTTTCTCCTGTTTCTATTTCAGGAATTTATCCGGAGGTTTTTAATGATAAACTTTGTGGTTATTGTTTGTTTTTTGTTTTTCCACCTTTAATTTCTGGCTAAAGCAACCTGGGCAAAGACCAAACTGTCTCCTTGTTTTCCCATGCCCCCTCAGTCTTTCCACAAATAAAGGAGAAAATAAGCTGCAGTTTAAAGGCCTGCAAAGTGAAAGGCTGAACTCAGTTTCAGTTTCTCAGACGTTTCCAGATGAGGTAAAGATGTTCAGCTCCTCTTCATCATCTGCCTGAAGATAAAAACTCACTCACATGTTTCTGCTCTGCTTTAAAGCTGCAGCGCCTGATTCCACAGAGACACAACTCTTTAAGTAATAAAGTTTTATTTCTCTCTCAGCAAAGGTAGGTGACCTTTTCCTAACAGGCAGCTTCTTATTCCACATTTCTGCTAATTAAACGCTCTGAGAGTGCTGGCATGACTCAGATCAGACAGGAGGTTCTGGGAGAGCTGCTCAGTCTTCCGGGGCCGACCCGATCCATTCGGCTGTGGCTGATACGGACGCAACAGCTGAGGTCTTAGAGCACCACTGCCTATCAGCTGCTGGTATTTAGCGTTTCTCTGGCTCTTAAGTCGTGGCCAAACCAAGTCTGGGGAAACGTTTACATTCTGGACTAGAGGAGAAAACCAGAGTACCAAACCAAGGCAACGCCACTCTAAAGACTTGTAGAGGGATTTGAACCCACAATTTTCTCTACTTAACCGCCTGCTCCATCCTCTGAATCTTCCCAGCAGTTTCTATTTTCACTAAGACCAAAGAAAAGGTCTATCAGGTCGCCGTTTTCTGTCTTGTCTGCCCCCACCTCGCCCACTATGATCCCAAACCTCTGCCCTCTATGATCCACAACCTGTGATTGGTTAATGAAGCAGTAGGGAATCTCTTCAGAAACCATGAATTGAACACAGTTCATTGTTAAAACTCTGAGCTCGTTAGTGGGCATAATTAATAATCAGAGTCTGGATAATTTATTGAAGACATTTCTGTTCCAACCTGCTTCTGAAACCTGAGAGAACAAAATTAGTGTCAAACATTTGTACAGCAAAAATGTGTTAGTGAATTATTTTAAAGATATTAATAAAAGTTTCTAGAGGTCAAAGGTCAACTAGCTGTTCCACATTTACAAATTATTATTGAGCAAGCTAAGCAGAACCTCTACTTATACCCAAAAACACCCACACACATACACACACACACACTGAGCCCGCTGTGTGTTTGGGTTAAATAATGTCAAGTTACAAAAAGTCAGAAGTGCATCAGCTGGCATCTTAATTCAGAAATAACTGTGTGTGAAGCTGAGAAACGACAGCGCAAGACCAGGTGTAGCTTCTGTGAAGAAAAAAATAACTGAGGAAAATGAAGGCCTTTTCCGTCAGTGGTTGAGAAGGAGATATAGGGCTTTTCTGACTGTCGATGGGGGTCGATGAAGGGTGATATCAGTGGTGAAAACAAGAAGATTCCTGAAGGACAACAGGATGGAGGTCATACCCTTTTGAAAATTTATGCTGGTAAATATTGTTTAAATGCTTGCAACATTTCTTGAGGAAGACGGCTGAGAAAGTTTCAAGTCAAAATGGAGAACTGAATCAGGAAGCATCTACCTTACCTGCTCGCCTGGGAACACTTCCAGAGTTTCCTTCAGAAAACCTGCTGAGTCCGATTGTAGGGTCACTGAGGTCATCCTGAAGGACAACAGGACAGGAAGAAAACAGGATGGGTGCAGGTTTAAGGTTAAACCGTTTAACAACTCAGAATGAAATCGTCACTTTTCAAACACAAACTTGTAAAATATCACTTTAATAACAGCAAAATACCTGCAATATTTCTTGAGGAAGACTGCTGGACCCGATGGTAGGTTCATTAAGGTCATTCATCAGTGGAGGGTGATGAAGGCCTTTTGTGAGTACTTTTGACAGCTCTGAAAATAATAATTCAACACGTTTGTACTAGTGTAATGAATCTTTGTGATTTTGTAGTTTTGTTTTTTTCCCTGTGGTTTGTTGAGTTATTGCTTTTTTTTCTTTTTTGGGGTTATTGTATTTAGGCCGATTTTTTAAATTATTTTTTTTTACCTGTAATTCAGACTTTTTAACTTCCACAAACAAGATGAAGAAATGAGCTATTCAGTGACATGCACGTATTTATCCCTTTTGAAGTTTTTACAGGCTAATTTTTCTAGCATGAAATTCCAATAAAATACATTTAAGTTTGTGGTTGTATAGAGGAAATCTATAAAAATGTTTTTTATGGACATGAATATTTCTGGAAGGCACTGGAAATTATTTGTTTTGAAGAGTCGACGTAATTATTATATGATCAAATGCCTTGCCATAGCCGATCCTCAAGCGAGCAGTGTGACGTCAGCTCATGTCCCTGCCTATGCTCGCGAGGACAGAAGGATATGACTGCAGTTGATAGACGTGTTGTAGTGATGTAATTTTAGCCGTTTGTTGACTACGGATGGCTGTTTGTGCCAGGCTTTGCGGAGTCGGACAGTCCCGAAGGTGCCGAAGACGACAGAGGAACGACCAGCAGGACCAAGGGAGCGATTCTGACATGGACGAGGAGGAAGAGGAGAGGATCGTAGGCCAGCGGAGAAGCGACGCAGGTAGCTGTGGAGGCCCCGGGCGCGTCGCCGCCGCCGCGGCCGCAGCCACTGCAGAGCCAAGTGACGCTTGTGAATATGGAAGCGGTCATAACACCAACAGACGAGGCTCAAACACTGGACCTCCACACCCAGAGTCATTAATGGAATTACCCCCGGAGCTCTTGGTGGAAATATTCTCTTTGCTTCCTGGAACAGTGTTACCAAATGTCGCACTCGTATGCAAAAAATTCAGACAAATTCTCAACACGGAAACCATATGGAGAAGACGATGCGTGGAAGGTAATGATGATGTTGATCAGACCTGAAAACTGCCAACACAGTCCACTGAAACGTTCAATGACTGAATCATTTCTTTATGAATCCTGTCAGCTACAGCTTGCCACAAAAATATGCTGCCGTGGAAAACACACACAGACAGAGAGAGAGAATCAAGTATCAAGTAGCGTACAGTGACAACATTATTTAGACTGTCGTCATAGTCTGCTGCTTTACTGGGACCTGCCAGCCATTCTCTGCAGTTGATAAGACCGCTGATGCAGGCCTGATCCTTTTTAGCATACACGTAATAACTTCAGACTGTTTGCTTAGGAACCACATGCCACTTACACTAACAATAAACACATTGAAAAGCTGTTGATGTGACGTTAATCGGTGACGCGTGAACAATTTATAGGAAAGGCATTGACTTTAAAATCTATATGTGGACTTATAAGTAACACGGATTAATAAGAGTTAAATGCCGTTGCTTTTCTTGTAAAATTAAAATATTGTTAAACACAGTAAAATCACCAGAATTAAATGTGCTGAGCTGATTTCCACATTGCTGAGTTTCACTGCTGCCAGTGTTGTGTCACGTTCGTTTTTAGGAACTGGCGATTGAAAAACAAGTGGTGCTCAAACTTAACTGATCAACTTTTCAGTAATCTTCCATTTTCATAATAAAATAACAAAAAACTAAAATCACTAAGTTAGATTCACACTCTTCTTACAATGTGATTTTAAAATGCTTCACCTCCTCATTTTTATAAAAAGAAAAACAATCACCATAATCTCATTTTTATATTTGCTTTTTGCACAAGTAAACATGTTGCACAACAACTTTTATGTGCACAGTAGAAGTAGTGCCTTCTACAGCCACTGTCCCAGTCTATTCATTTAATTTCCCTTCTAAAAGCACCTTATTCCACCAACATTTTACTCTGCTATTTTGGCTCTATTTCTTGTGCAAGTCTTGAGTGTGTTGTGCCACTTTTTGTGTGTGTGTGTGTGTGTGTGTGTGAGTGTGTGTGCTACAAACACAGATGAACAAGAACATCTAAAATGAACTTAAATTTTTATGAGCTTGGACAAGGATAATTTTTGGAAAACATACCTTGTTTTGATAACCTTCCCCCTACCACTTACAGACAGTGACTTTATAGAATGACTGCAGAATATACAAAAAGTTTTGTTTGTTTTTTGCTAGACATTGGTATGTTTTAAATATTTTAAATAAACATTTAAAATATTAAGAAAAGGAAGAAATGTCCATATTTAACTTTTTACTGATCTGTTTTGACCACGAAAGTGGGTGGCCTGTATTTAATTTAAAATTGTAGATATTAAAAGGAAAATCAAATTATTTCTTATTTTTTTTGTGGTGGTTTCTGACGAGAACATCCAATTACCAAAAACATGCACAGACCCGTCCCTCGTGGTTTAATGAAAGTCTTTATCAAAAGACTTGCTATTCATTCTTCAGCCTTGTGTAACTTTATAGACACATGATTAGTCTTTTTGCCAGAGGACTATTCCAGGAAATTACTAAAAATAAAATCACACTTGACTTGCAATGCAGTGGGGGGGGTATTAAAGCACCAGCATTTAGAGGCAAGTTGCCCAAAGCATAGCAGAAATATTATTCCACAACAAGCAGGATTCACGGCCTCCATGTGAGGTTGTTAGTCGTCTCTCGGGAATGGAGAGTAGCAATCAAGTTAAAAGAAACCTAATGGTGCACCGAATGCAGTTTTCTGGCTGATTGCCGATTACCAATCTTTAAAAAGCCTGACCTGCTGATTCCTATGTGGTTGTTGCTGATTTTTTAACTTTATTTTTGTCTGAAATGTTGCTAAGTATAGCACGAAAGTCACTGAGTTGGCAACAGTGAAGAGACTATTGTTCACTGCAAACTGGCAGGCATGACCTGCCAATCAAACCTCTCACGGCAGAGAAAAAGAGAACAGTGGTTGATTTTTTAGACATTTGCCAAGGTAGATGAGATCAGTGAGTAAGATGGGCTTCACATGTAAGTATTGGCAGATCATAAAATCTCCCAAAATTAACAAAACCGGGGCCAATTTATCGGTGCACCTCTAATGAAATCAATTAATAAAGTTACACTAGTCTCTATGTTTGCTTTGTCATGTCTAAAAATGTTGAAGTATGCAATTATATTTTTGAACACTGGCAGCTTTTTTGTCTGGCAATGGTAATAGGCTATTTTAACCTGCTTTACTCTGAGGAAACTTTACCGTTAGTTGCATCTCTTAAAAATTCCAAAGTTTGACATGCCTCGGTGACCTTTTACCGTTTGAGTTTTAAACATTTTTTTATGCGCAAACAAATTGATCAAAACTGGAATTTGCACATCAAACTTTAAAAGAAAACCAGAAACCAGTAAGATGCGATGTAGATTAAGATTTATGTAAATGACTATGTCTTGTTGGCTTCCTTAATTAATTAATTTTTTTCAGTTGAAGGATAAAAACCTGAAGATTATATGGCACCTATAGTTGCAAAAAGAGTAAAATACCCCCACCTTTATTTTTTGGCTATTCGAGGATAGTACAAAAGCAATGTTTTTTTTTTATTTTATTTTTTATTAAAGCTGCAGAATATAACTTTTACAGAAATATGTCTTTTCCATATTTGTTTAAACTGTCAACATGTCATCTATGAAAAAATCAAGCTCCTTTATCTCCTCCCACTGCTACTGTTGAGGTCTGCAAAAATGCACCACTGCTGGTCAAAAACAACCAGTCAGAGCCAGGAAGAAGGTCTTGTCAATCATGCTCTTGTACACACCGCTCAATGAACTAATGGCAAAGAAACAACTTACTGTTTCAAGAAAAGTGGTTATTCGCTGTGCTATGCTAACTAGAATTAGCATTCGCAGCAGGTGAGTAGCATGTACTGAGTGATTGATGGCATTAGAACCCTCCTTCTGGCTCTGATTGGTTGTTTCTGACTGAGTGGTGTATTTCTGCAGTTAGTACTGGGAGCACTGGGAAAAGGCAGAGAAGCTTGATTTTTTTTTTTTTCACATTTTATTTGTCTTGTATGATATGATATTGTCATGACACAATGATGATTTTAACAAATGCGTATGAAAATATATATGCATTTTTTTTATAAAAGTTTTAAAGCAGAAACGCTTTTTGCTTTATATTTTTATTATTATTAAAATATCTGATGGTGCATTTTACCACTCATGTCCAATAATTTATACAAATGATTACAACTGAAAATAATAATTTGTTTGTCATTGAGCTGACAGAGAGTTGGACATTATCCTGACTGACTCCTGATCTGTAACCTCAGAAGGTCTGTCTCCTTTGGCTGCCCTACAAATACTCTGTTCAGCTGAGCACATTTTATAGTCGAAACATTATTCTGACATTATTTAGATTCCTTAGCAACACTACTCTATACACAAATTACATGCAGATCTGTAAACGCAGCATTTGAAAATAATGTTTTATGTCCATGTTTTTATGTTAATTTTGACCAAAAGTTTACTTTTTGTAACACTAAGTCTATTATACCATTTTTTGTTTCAGAGTTTGGCATGAGGGAAGACCTGAGGAAGATGGAAGCGACTGGAGTATCTAGCCAAGATCTCTACGTTAAACGTCAGTTTCAGTTTCCTGTTGAAACTTACTGAAGCGCTAAATCTGTCACTATTTTATGTCTTCTCAAGCACCTCTTTCCTTCTCCTTATGTACAGTAACTGTTCAGACAGAATAAGCCGAGAAAGGCTTACTTTTTCATTAAGACATGTTTTTCTCCCTCAGTCTGTTCCTCATTTGTGTACTGGTAGGAATTATAAGCATATTTGCCTTTTGTTTTGTTTTGTTTTGTTTTGTTTTTTAACGTCAGCTGTTTGCTCCTAAAATTAGCTGTTTTCCCTCCAGTAGTCAAATTCTGGACTGAACCCTCTTTGGTTCTGTTGCTGCTCTACACATACCTATGTTGTGCCTGTGCAGGTGTCGTCCCGCGGGTGAAGTCTGGGCGCTTTATGAAGCTCCTACCTGACTACGAGCACATGGACTATAGAGACGTGTACACACACTGTATGTGGGTTGCTGCATCATGACGGATTGTGTGTTTGGGTCTTCATAATGACGCGACTTTGAAGCAAAGCAATTGAAGCTGTACTTCCTGTGATAACAGTTCATTTGTCGTTTACTGAACTGCCTGTTTGCTGCGAAAAGAGAAGGCAGCTTAAGTTGGTGTGCCACATGTGCTGTTTTGAAACTCAACTGTCTGGAACATAGAGTTCTGGTCTGAAGCTTACTCATTGATCTTGGGCTCTTAATGATTTATTTCAAAAAAATGTCTCTATGTTGCAATGCAACACCAAAAAAAACTTCAACAAAAACCAAAACGTGCATGAAGTGGGATTTATTTTTGGCTTTTCCCTACTCCACTCACGGCCAAAATTATGCATGCATGCAGACTCCAATATATGCACACACACACACCCCCCCTCAATTATCTGGTTTAAATATCCCTTAACAAGTTGCAAATGGACTTCACACCTTTTGCAGCCATCATCAAGCTTCTGGTGTAATTGCTCAATGTTTAACGTCTCTTTTTGCCAGCCTTCGTGGAACTGGCACACACCTGGCTCTCCGGTCTCTTTATGTTTATTCCAAATCCAGTTTCGATGTGTTTTTGGAATATCTGTCCTTGTTGGTACACCTAATTGTGTCCAAGTTCGAACCACCTGATTTGAACTGACTAAAAGAAAATATAGGTTATAATGACTTGGTCTCGGTTAATTTTCTTGATTTGGTTCACTTAGTGCAGGGAACGAGCCTGCCGATATCTTGAAACTGCTGAAACATTAGTTTCACTGTCCAGGGTAAGGCAGGTTTCACATCGCCGCGGAGTGAAAGGGTGATTACAAAAATGCTCCAAAATCAGCACCTTCAAGTTTCACTCAGATTTCCCTTTGCTCACAAAACAAGCCTGATGCCTTCTGGAGGAAACATTTATGATCAGTCAATATAAAGACTGAACTGTTTGACTTTACCGACTATAAAAACGTTTTGAACTCGGGATCATTGTACTGACTCTCAAGTCTGGTGGCGGTGGCAGCATTTAGCTGTGGGACTGTTGTGTTGTACAAAATGGACAGAATAATTAAGAATTAAGACTTCTTCCAAATTCTCTAACTTTACCTCAAGTCAGCTCGCTTTTAAAAATCAGATCTGTGTCAAGAAATAGTTTTAATAAACTCGACCTGTGGTGTAAACAAGAGTGATCAAAAATCCAGCCACAATTATGCAAGAAGCTGAGTGAGGTACCATCTGCCATGTTGTTTTCCTTAAAGTCAAATACGCATGTATACTTTTGACACTGAGAGAGAAAGTCAGCAATTGTGGATCCAATTTTTGATTTGTAGAATTCATTCGTCGCAGCCAGTAAAATCTATGGAAGCCCATTACTGCTATGAAGGGGGAAAAAAGTAATTATGAGTTTTAAAATCACAATTACATGTTTTAAAGTAATAAGTATGAGAATAAAAGTCGTAATTGTGACTTTAAATGTCGTAACGACACATTTTAAGGTCAAAATACTAGAATAAAAGTCAGACGTGGGTTTTAAAGTTATAGCTTTGAGATTAAAAGTCGGTTTTAGAAGTTGTATTTTCAAACCGTCCAGCATGTACACTTAGAACTTGTAATTATGACTTTTATTCTTGTAATTATGACATTTTCACGTGAAAATGAGCGGTGCAAACGCATCATTAAAATCCCAAAGTGAATGTGCTTATGACCCTGAAAAGTGAACGTAAATGTCTCTTTGGCAATAAACTGACCATAACTCGATTTAATTCTCATTGAACAACATGATGCAGTGAGTGGTTTTAACTTCACTTTTACCACCTTTAACCATACGGCATTAACTCTCAGGTGATTATGAGTGCAGTCCTGCTGAAACTTATTACAGTGTTCTGTTGTTGTTCTCTTCTTTTGCAGTGCTTCACCCATATAGGCACATTCTAGGGCTTTGGCAGCCTGACATCGGACCTTATGGTGGATTACTCAATGTCGTGGTAAGTATTTCTGCTACCGTTTGATTATGCTTAATTGTTTTTTAGACATGTTTGCATGAAGACGAATTGACAATTTAGCTTTATTAGCTTTCAGTGTTCTGGCAAAACTATTTGTTTGATTAGGGTGATTAAATAAAGCCATATTTCACCCAGGTGGACGGGTTATTCATTATTGGCTGGATGTATCTGCCTCCTCACGATCCCCGGGTGGAAGATCCGATGAGAAGGCGACCGCTTTTCCGCATTCACTTGCTGGAA